TACATGGTGAGCCTGCCAACTCTCACTGTTGGCTGGGGACACTCCTGTCACCTGTCTTTGCACCTGCAGGAAACATTGTCATTGCTGGGCTGGGAGGTTTACTTTCAGTCTCTATTCCTTTGCTTTCTTTTTTGTGTCCCTTCCAGGTCTGCTCACCAACTTACAGTTCAGGTCGGTTTTAGAATATTTTTGCCAACTTCCAAAGAAAGCACATCCTTCTCGGAGCTGTATGATGTTCCTACAAGACTAGTCATGTCACTTAAGGCACAAGTCTGGAGCGAGGCCAGACGGCTCTGCTGCATGTATCCTGCTGTGCTCCTGCTAAGGTGGGTCTGACCCCTCATGGGCTCAGGCCCTTTTTCCTCACATATCAGTCCTCTAGTTTCCTTTTTGTTTCAGTTTTGGAGTGCTACAGACGGCACACAGAACCTCACAGCTACAAGTGTTCTCTCCCCAGCCAGGCCCACCTTTCTGTGCTGTGCAAAGTAGGAGCCACACACAGGGCACTCAGGGCCAAGCGCAAGCCCACGTGGCTCCCAGTCTCCCACCGTGGCCTGCTTGGGTGCAGCATAAAACTTGTTCTGGCGCTGGTCCTCATGAAGCGAATGCGCAGCCGCCTTACCCCGAGAATGGCAGCACCCTGTTCAGGAAGCCGGAGCTCAACCTCACAGAGTACTCTGGCACTTGAGGGTACCTTTTCCTTATAGGCAAAAGCACTTTACATGTGCCTCATTTTTTTTTTTTTTTTTTTTGGTGGAACCGGGGATTGAACTCAGATCCTTGCACTTGCCAGGGAAGCGCCTATTCCACTGAGCCATCTCCCCGGCCCCTCATTTTGTTGTTGTTGTTTTTTTTTTTTTTCAGAACTGGGGATTGAACTCAGGACCTTGCACATGCCAGGCAAGTGCTTATTCTACTGAGCTATCTCCCCAGCCCCATCATTTTGTGTTTTGGAGACAAAGTCTTTCTGTATGCTCGCCTAGAGCCTGCAATTCTCCTGCCTGGGTGACGGGATTACAGGCATGTACCACACTTAGCGTCACTTCTTACATTGTGAAGGAATTCTGTAATGCTCCCAAATGCTTCACAGTGACAGAGTGACAGGATTGAACCTCCACAGACAGGCACTGAGTTCTGCTAGGTGTCCACACTGTGGGTGTGTGCATGTCCTGACCTGCCGATGGGGTCCTGGGGTAGCCGCAGTGCTCACTCTTGGTCCTGGGACCCTCTAGCCCCCATGAGCCTGGCTTCCAGCTCTTCTCTCTGAGAAGGGTCCTGGGTTGCTATGGAGCTTCCACCAGGAGAACTTTTTCCAGATGTCAAAGAAGAGATGTCGTAAGAAATAAAAGCTGGGGCTGCGGAAATAGCACGGCAGTCTAAGCACCTGCCTGGCAAGCACAAGGACCCAAGTTCAATCCCTGATACCGCATACTGTGCCAACCTCAGAGCCACAGGTGTGCCATGCTGGCCCCAAAGCTGGGTGTGGTGGTGCATACCTGTAATCCCAGAGCTGGGGAGGCAGAGACAGAAGGATCACTATGAGTCTGAACTGTGTAGTGAGCCCATGTAGCCAATAAATAAGTAAATAAATAATAATAATAAAAAGAAAATAAAAGCTGGTGACAGGATTGAAGGACAAAGAGTGTTTACAGAATGTCCTCCATCACAAGAGCCAAAACCTGAGTCACTTTATAGCCGGGCCTGGATATGTCTCCAGCCTTCCTTGCCCCTTAAGAGGTGAGGAATGAGGCGTGAGGGCAGCCTGCTGGCATGCAAGGCTAGACAGAGGCACTGGAACAACTTTGTATGCAAACCACCTGTTCGCAGTCTGCAGAACGCATGTCCGCCACCTCACACAGGGTTGCGTCCTGCTTCCTTCTCTTGCTCAGTGGGCAATAAGTGGCTTCTGTCTCATCAGATGTGTTGTTTACAGCACCAACAAAAACCTCTGGGGCCACTCCCTGTTGAAACACAAGCCCCTTCAGACAGGGCAGGGTCACCCCAGGCACTGCACCAGCAAATCCTCCAAAACCTCCACCCTCAGGAAGGCCAGGGCAGGGGCACCCATAGGGTGGACTGAACCAGCCCCAGCATCCTCGCGACCCAGGACCAGCAGGCAGAAGCATGTGGCAGAGGTGAGCAGGTGAGCAGAGCAACTCAGTAAAAGAAGCAGCCCAAACAGCAGGCTGCCCAACCTCCATGGGGCCTCCCTCCACAGTCCTGGGCCAGGGCTTTAGATACAGTTGCAGAACTGGCAGGGCCTGGTCAGCCCCGGGTACCAGGGCAGAGCCAGGACAGGATTCCTGAGGCTGAGGCCAGGGCACATATAATGGTATCTCCCTGCCTCCACTAGGCAGTGCCACAGTCCAGCCAGGTCCCTTTCCATAGAGCAGCCTGGCAGGAAGTAGAGGAAGGGAAACCCTCCCCATGTCCCTCCTGCTTTGAGAAGCACAAACACATCTGCTTCTTTGAAGAGCAAGAGCAGTAAAAACACCCACGAGCCAGCATCTAGAGGCCCCTGGAGCCAGTCACCAGGGAAACAAGGGGTGGCCTTCCTGCAGATCCCGTTAGCCACAATCCTGACACCCATCCACTCTGCAAGGTAGGGTTGGCCCAAGGCTCCCATGTCCTCACTTCCCATGTTCAGTGTACCCCACCTGGTGTGGGAGGCTCACAGCTGCACTAGGAACTGCAAACACCACTGTCATGTGAGGAATGACACACAACGGCCCTGTAAACTGCTCACCAGGGACACAGCCACCAGCTGCCAGTGTGCTCTGAACAGCAAGTGTGGATGGGGTTGTTCTGTTTTTACAAGTTCCCTTTAGTGACAATACTGTACGTAGTGTTTTATTCTTTTCTCCTCTTTGCAGTACTAGAGATTGAACCCAAGGCCTTCACACTGAGCTTGACCTCCTGTCCCTCTGTTTCTTTGTTCTATTGAGTCAGGGTCCCGCTAAATTGCCCAGGTAGGGCTCAAACTTGCGATCTTTCTGCCTCAGCCTCTTCAAATGCTGACACTGCAGTCATCCACTACACTGGCTACCTCATCTTCTGACTGTTATAAATAATGCTGTATTGAACTTGTGTCACATGCTTGCTGGCCACTTGTAAACCTTCCCTGGAGAAATATTTCAGCAAGGGTTTTGCCCATACTTAAGCTGAACTACGTTTCACTGTTAAGTTCTAAGAACTTTTTTTTTTTCCCCCAGAACCAGGGATTGAACTCAAGCCCCTACGCTTGCCAAGCAAGCACTTATATTACTGAGCCATCTCCCTGGAAAGAACTTTCTATATATCATGGATATCAAATCCCTATCTGATAAGTGATCTACACATATTTTTCCCTTTTCACGGACGGTCTTTCATTTCATTTTGTTCTTTTTTTTTTTTAGAATTATTTATTTATTTATTCATTCATTCATTCATTCATTCATTTTGTGTGTGTGGCCAGCTCAGCCCACCAGGGGGCGGGGCTGGCTGGCATGTGGTGCTGGGGGATTGAACCGCAGTCCCTGTGTTTTGCTTAGCTTAGCTTGTTCTAAGTAGATGCTTTAGACCACTGAGCCATCTCACCAGGCCTTCATTTTGTTCTTGAATATACAAATTTTTTCATTTATTTTAATGTATTTAGCACAGGGTCTATAGGGTCTCACTAGGTAGATTGGACTCGTAGTGATCCTCCTGTTTTCAGCCTCCCAAGCACTGGAATTATAGGCACACGCCACCACGTCTAGTCTTAATCGCTATCTCAGTGCACCCTGGGGGCAGGGCCAGCACAGCATGCTGGGCATCCAACCTCAATCATTGCGCCTGCCCGAGCAGGCACTTTAGTCTGCTGAGCTATTTGACTGGCCCTTCTTTATGTTTTAAGGATGTTTTTCTAGACACAAAATTACACAGACAGTTTTCTTTATCTTTCAGCACTTGAGTGTGTTGCTCACTATCCTCTGGATTCTGTGGTCTCTCTCTCTCTCTCTCTCTCTCTCTCTCTCTCTCTCTCTCTCTCTCTCTGTTTTCTTTCTTTTTACGGTGGTGCCAGGGATCGAACTCAAGACTCTGATTTCTGATGAAAAAATTGGCCATTACGCTAATTGAGGAATCACTTCTACACCACAAATTGCTCATCTTCTGAAGATTTCAAGACCTTATTGTTTTTTCTTTCTTTTCAGACAGGGTCTTTTTTTAAAAATTTTTTTATTTATGTGTGGCGGGGGGGGGGGGGCAGCTCAGCCCACCAGGGGGCGGGGCTGGCTGGCATGTGGTGCTGGGGGATTGAACCACAGTCCCTGTGCTTTGCTTAGCTTAGCTTGTTCTAGGTAGGTGCTTTAGACCACTGAGCCATCTTACCAGCCCCCTCAGACAGGGTCTTGCTCTGTAGTTCAGCCTAGCTTTGAACTCACTATGCAGCACAGGCTGGCCTGAAATACAAAGCATACACACCCCACACTCATGTGCACCACATCACACACTCCCACCAGCACACTGCTCCCGTGCAAACACTAGCGACAGGTCAGCATACAGCCAGCTGTGTCCCTGCACCACCCAGCAGGAGCAGCATGGAAAGCCAGCCCAGTCACAGAAGGCCAACTTTGCAGTGGGACATGACACCAGCCTATAATCCCAGCACCCTTGGAGCCCAGAGCAGCAGGACTGTAAGCTTGAGCCCAGCCTGGGCAGCTTAGAAACTTAGCGACCCTGGCTCAAAGAAAGAAAACAAACAAATAAGTAAGTGGGGCTCTGAGCAAAGGGTTCAAGCCCTAGCATAAATTAAATTTTAAAAGGGCAAATTTCTCCTTCTTGAACCCAGCAGACATGGACATCTGGACATGGCCATTGGGGTCTTCACTAGGCTGAAGGTAACTCCCTTGGGAAGCCTGCCGAGGCTGACCCCCATTAGATCCCTGACTGAAGAACTGCTTTCTGGTGTCTAACACACTGCAGGTTCTGTTGGAGGCCATCAGGGACAGAGACAGGTTAAGCCTCACTTTTGGAGGAAGGGCACTTGGCTACCAGTGCATTTCCAGAACCAGCCCTGCCCAGAACCCTCACCCTCATGTTCCTAACCCCAGGAGAGAGAGACCTGGAGGAAAGCAGGACCAAAGACACTTGGCCCACACCCACATGTGTCAGGTCTGGGAGGTGGACAGGTGACCAGAGGCCAGAAGCCATGGCTCCTGTGAGGGAGAGGCAGACATGGGACAGCTCTGTCACTGCCCAGGAGCAGGCCTCTGCAGGCCAGTGGTACAGCACTTGGGAGGCCATCTGGGTAGCCGTCCAGTAAAGCTGTCCTAGAGAAGACATCGTGGGGACATGGGGACAATGAAGGTCTCTCAAAACAGACCTAGCTTGGCCACTGATCAAACCACCTCAGGAAAAGTTTCCAGGTAAAGCAGAGGGCAGGGCCACAGCGGGTACAGGCAGGGACAGGTGGGGACAGGCAGAGGCAGGAACAGCTCCCTCACCTTTTTGTGGACGAGGGTCCAGGAGCCATCAGAATTGGGGTCTTCTGAATTTTCCTGCCAATCACTGCAGCCTGGGATGGAATGCAGGTCCCTGTCCTCCTTCAGAGGTTCCCCGTGCTCCTGCTCTCCTTCAGGAACTGAGTGAATCAGGGAATTGTTCTCAGCATCTATAGACAGATAATGAAAGATCAGAAAAGAGCGAGGAGCCCAGGAAGGGGCTCCCTCTCCCCTTGAGCATTGCTGAGGCAGATCAACACTCTCTTCCCCCGACTCCAGCTGCAGCATGGGGCAGGTCAGAGGAAGGGGTCCTCAGAATGTCTACTGGACCAGTTCCTCATTTCCACTAAAGCAGTGCTTACCCATTCCTCTCCTTCCAAAAGCTCTTTGTCTGGTGGTGGCCCAGAGCCCTCCACAGGCTTCTGATTCCTGGCCCTGATCCACTTATCCACTTGCTTGTCTTCACCCAAGCACAGCGGCCACCCACAATCCATGGTGCTATGGTCACTCAGTACCATCACGGGGACCCAGCAGCCCCCTTTAAGAGGCATCCACTTTCAAACCTGGGTCTCTGTAACCCTGGCACTCTCACATAGTTCTGCCTAGAATCTTCTCTTATCTTGCTCCTGAGGCCCCTCTCCAAGGTCCCAGGTTTGTTCCTCTCCAGCCCCTCAGGTCTGCCTCCTCCTAGCACTGTCCCCACTAGCTGCAGCCTCTGAACACTCTGGAGGGCAGGAGGACTATGAGCCCTGGTTCCCCGCTGAGCCCATGCCTGGCCATGCATGGCACTCGGGAGTTTCACTGAAGGAAATTCACTGAAGGATAGAACTCAGAACTGAAAACAGGTTCTCCAAATCTCTGCTCTCACACACACCCTTATAGCCAAAAAGCAAAAGTTGGAAAAAGGCCTTCAACAGCCCCAGATCACTTTCCTTCACACCCTCAACACTGAATTAGAAACTGGGGGCTCTGCGCTTTCTCCCTCCCACGGGGGCAGCCTTGCCCACTCAGGACCTGACATCTCCCTGAGCCAATCAAAGCGAAAGACTGCAGGGCTCCCAGGAGAAAGCCTGACAGAGCCACCTCCTCCAATGGGAGGGACCCACAGCTCAGAGCTGCGATGGATGCTGGGGAACCGTAGCACCATTCCACAAGAAGCCCAAGGACAGGCTGCCTCCCAGAGGAGGGCAAGGTGGCCAGGACCAGAGGAAGGGGCAAGAGGCCTGTGAACAACTGAACCCTCCATGCAGTGGCCAGGGCTTCTTCCTACTGAGCTGGGGAGCAGGACTGCTCCAAGGACTAAGTAAGCATCAATACAAAAAAGGTGCCTCAGGATGGGGAGATAGCCAGTGTCTGGCAAGCGCAAGGTCCGGAGTTCAATCCTCAGTACTGGAAAAGAAAAAAAAAAAAAAAAAGAAGCCAGGTGTGGTGGCACACTCTGGTAATGCCAGCTACTCAGGAGGCTGAGGCAGGGGGATTACAAACTCAAAGCCATCCTAGGCAACAAAATAGCCTAGGTTATTTTGAGACAAGAAAAAGAAAAAAGAACTGGAGTACATATAAAAGCTCAGTGGTAAAGTGCTTGCCTAATGTTCACAAAGCCTTGGAAGTCATCCCCAGTAACACACACACACACACACACACACACACACACACACACACACACACACTTTCCCTAACAAAGTGTCTTAACCTCCCAAAGGATGCTTGGCTTCTTTGCCAGTGAAGGAAATCAGAATAGAAGCAATGAGATGCCATTTCCACCCATCCCCCAGCTCAGATGACAAGGCCAGCCCCTCCCAGGATGCCAGAGGCTGTGCCCAGAAATGGAACCTCAGAGACCTGCTGCTGGTCACAGGAGCTGCCTGGGGAGTTGAGAGTGGGAATGCCTTAGCCTGCAGGTGCAGCAGCTTCCAGCGAGGACGGCCTGGCTCCTCCTCTGCAGTGGGCGGAGGGCCCCAGGGCTGGATGCTGCATCAGGCCCTGCCACATGGCCAAGCAAAACACAGAGGATGAAGCAAGATGCAGTGTCAGCCTGAGAGTGTGAAGGGGCTCAGCAGGGGACTTCAGATCCTCCTGTCCAAGGCAGGTCATCTTCCACCCACAAGGATATTTTTTGTTTTTGGATTTTTTTGAAACAGGGTTTCTTTTTGTAGTGCAGGCTGACCTTGAACTCACTATGCAGCCCAGGCTGGCCTCAAATTCGCAGCAATCCTGCCTCAGCCTCCCAGCTCAGATACAGGCTAGCTACATGCCTATGTCTACAGTCATAGTAAATAAAGGAAAGTAGACAAATGCAGAAATTATTTAAGAGCAAAAGTCTTCCATCCACCGCATGAGGACTGAGGTGGGATATTGGAGTGAGGTGGGAAAGAAGAAATAAAAACAAGCAGACAGGGTGGCAGGGAGATAGCTCAGTAGAATAAGCGCTTGCCTGGCAAGCGCAAGGGCCTGAGTTTAATCCCCAGTTCTACCAAAAAAAAAAAAAAAAGCAGACAGGCATGGTGGCACACAACTGTAATCCCAACACTTGAAACGCTGAGGCAGGAAGATTGCTGGCAGTTTCATGGCAGCTTGGGCTACATAGTGAGTTCAAGGCCAGTATAAACTACATAGTGAGACTATCTCTCTCTCTCTCTCTCTCTCTCTCTCTCTCTCTCTCTCTCTTTCTCTCTCTCTCACACACACACAATTTTAATTTAAAAACAGAAAAGAAGAAAAAGATAAAGACAGGTTAAAAAGGAGGCAAGGAAAATCCTAACTTTAAAACTGCACTTCTGCAACTTCCTGGTACTGAAGAAAAAAAAAAGACAAGAGAAAAAAAGAAAACCACAGCAGAAAATGGTAGTTCACATCTATAATCCCAGCAATTCTGAGGCTGAGGCAGGAAGGCAGCAAATTCAAGTCTAGCCTAGGCAACTTGGTGACAGTGAGAGAGATTCTGTCTCAAAATAAAAAAACAAAAGGGAAAGAGGTGTAGGGCAGTGAAAAGGGACTGGGTTTGATCCCCAGTATCACAAAACAAAAATTCAACAGGCTGCAGCAGCTCAGCACCAAGTGACAGAAGTAAAGCCCTCCAAGCCAGGACACTGCTGATGTCAACGCCCGAGGTCCCAGAACAGCCAGACCCCCAAGAAACAGAGTGCAAGGGTGGGTGTCTGGGCAGGGCTGCGGGAGTGTTGGATGGGGACAGAGTTTCGGTTTGGAAGAAGCAGGAATTCTGGAGGTGGACAGTGCCAGTGGCCACACAGCAACTGCACTGAATGCCGCTGACCTCCACATTGGGAAAGGATCAAAGTGTGAAATCCTTCAACAGTTTTGCTGCAATTGAAAAACACACAAGCGTACAGTACAATGCAACTTTGCCCTGTGTGCCACATCTGGAGCCAATGGGGAGAGGTGAACAAAATTCAGAAAACACATACCCACAGCACAGGTTGCTCTCTACCCTGCCAACCCGACCCTCGAATGCTGGCCTGGACTGTGGTCCTCAGGCTGAGCCTGAAGCTGGGTCACCACCCGTGGGGTGAGGGTGGCGAGGCTTCACCTCCTTAGCCTGCATCCCAGTCCGTCCACACCAGGACCTGAGCTGAAGACCACACTCCCCAGGATGACCCCACCCTCACCCTCCTAGTCTGACCATTCTCATCTCATCTGTCCTCTGTTATAAAAAACATCTAACATTCCTGCAATCTTAGAAAATGAGAGTTGGGGACAAGGAGATGGCTCAGTGAAATAAGCACTTCCTTGGCAAGTGCAAGGGCCTGAGTTCAATCCCCAGTTCCACCAAAAAAAAAAAAAAGAAAGAAAGAAAAGAAAATGAGAGAAAAACACAGTGCCCATGGTGTCACCCACCCCTCAAAACAACTTTTCAGCATTTGAGGTACAAGGCCTACTAGGGTCTCTGGGGACTTGGGCAGGCAGGGCAGGCAGTTTACATTTTGAGCAAACCTCCCAGGAGACCCCATGGGCTTCAGACACACAGGGAACCTCAAGTCATGACATTCAAAGTTCTCATCCTCTGTCAGAGACCCCAAGTCCTCTCTATGCCTTTATCTATGGGGGTCACCCTAGACCCAGGCATCTGGGAGCCTCTGGGAGCCTCTGGGCAGGGAACAAGGTGGCCCCACCCTGTCTGAGCTCAGGGGAGTGGCTCACCTCAGCTCAGCCCCTGGAGCTGGCATTTGGGACTCGGACCTCCATCCCTAATCCCCACGCCCACTAGCCCAGGAAGGAAACTGTAAGTAGCTGAAAGGAAGCAGCAGTCTTCCAGCCGTCAGGAGCAGCAGCCAAGTCCCCATTCTACTTTCAGTTTCCTTTTCCTTCTCTTCTGGAGAGGATGGGGGTTGTGCTGGGATCAAACTGGGTGGCCTCTCACAGGGCAGCCCAGTCTCCACGGTTGAGCTGAGCCCCAGTTTCAGTTTCCCTGCCTAGACACAGCATTCCAGCTGCGTGACAAAGCCACTCACAAGCTGGTCCAGAGCCCTGACTCCAGGCTACAGAGGGCACAGAGGGCAACGTACCTGCCTTCCCCACCTGCCACCTGCCTGAGGCCTCTGGGCTGGGTTCAGGTATGAAAAGACTTACTGGCATCTCTGAGAGGTGCCACAGGCCCTCGCTCTCAGACAGACTTTTCATGTTTCCTGTTCTGGTGGCAAATACTTCTGTGGCCACAGCCCCGTCCAAATCCTCACCCAGAATGAAGGAGGACCCGGGCAGCTACCCTTCAGGGAGACTCTACCAGTGCAAGGCCATGGGGTCACCTTTTTCCCCACAGGAGCCTGAGACTTGGAAAAGCCACTCAGCCCGTCCTTTCCCGTCCTTTCTCCTCCTTCTCCCTCCTTTGGGCCACACTCAGGAACCTGACCACTCAGCTTTGTTCCTCCCAAGACATGGACTCCAAAGGCTTCAGATCTTGCCTCTACCAGGTGCTAGCTGTGTGACTGTGGCTGAGTTAACTGACCTCTCTGTGCTTCGCTACCAGCATTTACAGTATGGAGATTTATCACAACTATAATTTAGCACAGTACCAGGCAAATCTCAGGGAGCAGACTGGTATTTTCTCATCTCTGGAGCTGCAAACCTTCCCCCCCACACACACACACTGCCCCAGCCCCACATGGGCAGATGTTCTTACAAGTGCCCAGGTGGTGCAGCCCCCGCAGGTAGGCTATCCCAAAGGATCTAGGCACCAGAGGTTCCACTAATCTCAAAAGCAAGGAATCTCCCATCAGAGGAACCACTCTGCTGATCACCAAGTGCACCCATGCTGCTGTGACCCAGCCAGTTCCAGGAGACTCAAGAAATACCAGAAGCCTTAGAGTGTCTCCCAAATCCCTTCCTCAAAGAGTCAAAAAAATAAATAAAATAAAATAATAATAAATAAATAAATAGAAATAGGGAGGCTGAAGCAGGAGAACTGCCAAGTCCCATCTGGGCAACTTTGGCTGCTGTGGAGGACCATGGAGACTCTCCTTGAAAGAAGAGCAGGAGCCGGGGAGATGGCTTAGTGGAATAAGCGCTTCCCTGGCAAGCAGAAGGGCCTGAGTTCAATCCCCAGTTCCACCAAAAAAAAAAAAAAAAAAAAGAAAGAAAGAAGAGCAGTTATCTCCTTTTTGGCTAAAACTAGCCCTACAGGACTAGTTAGGATTTTTCCTTTTCCCTTCAATTGGCTTTAAGCAATGCAAATCAGTCTGGCAGAGGTGTATAGCCTTTGAAGCAAGGTAGCAGGACAGTGTTACCCCACTCCCATAGCTCCCCAAAACGTCCAGTTGGCTGGGATTGAGCCTCAAGATAAAGAGGCTGTGACTTCCTCAGGCATAAAAAAAGCCACATCAGAGCGGAAGTAGACCCCCAAAAACATTAGATATCACCTCAAATTGTGTTATGCAGGTGACTCCTTCTGCGTATCCCTCTTTGTGTAGCCCTCTCTGTGTATTGCAGAAGTGACCTCAGATCACCTACCTAGCCCAGCTCACAGCACTCAGGTATTTCTCGCCATTCTCACAGCCACTCATCCCCAAGCTACTCCCCTCGTTGAGAATTAATAAAACCTTTAGTCTCGCCTTGGGTGGCACTGGAAATGGTAGATTGGAATTAACTCACCAGAATTCCAATAACTTTTCCATGGGGTTATGAACTTCTCAGACCTCAATGAGGACCAGAAAGGGCTCTCTGTGGGGTGCCCTATCTCAAACTTAAAAATATAAAAAGGGCTGGGCATAGCTTAGCGATAAAAGCCCCAATGGGTTTGATTCCTAGCATCCCACATATACATGGGAAATCAGTGAGACAAAAATGAACAACCAACAGCAATCACCTCACACTCACACCTCTTGGGCCCAAAAAGGTCCCATGAGATTCAAGAGTGATCGAAGAGCTGGGGCCACACCCCACCCAGGCAGAGAGGGCAGCAGCTCTCCTGGGGAACAACAGAGGTCCCCAGGGAACACATCCAAAGACCTGTGTACACAGTGTATGTTCAGAAACAAGCATGCCTGTCTTCTTGCTGGCCTGCTCTGATGCACCCAGCGTAAGTATAGAGCGCAAGGGGCGTGGGATAAGGCAGAGCAGGGGGACAATGAAGCCACACGCTGATGACCCGGTGCCAGGTGGGCAAATCCAGGTGAAGGCTACTGAGGAGCTGGGCAAGGAGAACAAGGTTTTAAGTGGGTGCCTAGGACAACCCCACTGCAAAGTGAAGACTGGACGGGGGTTAGGGCTCAGGAACTGCCCTGTATTGGGTGGGCTCCAGGTTAGTAGGAGCAGGTAGTACAAATGCCCTGAGACTGGTGCACATATAAGTTGTTCTACAGGGCTCTGGGCAGTAGGAGAGGGGTAAGATGAAAAGGAGTGGGCAGCAGGCGGTCTATTGTCCCTCATGGGCAGCTGAGACGCATGGAAACACCTCACCCGACCCCAGAACTCCTCGATCCATCTACCCGCAAGTATAGGAAGGGGTCTGGGAGAACTGTGGCGACCCCTTGCGGTTACACTGAAAACCAACACCTGGTCCTCACTCCAGCATCCGGAGATCCTTCAGATACCCTAGGATCCCCTGCGCAGGCCTCTCATACCTCTGAGAAAGCAGAAACACCCCCCTCTCGTCCACACGAGTGTCCAGTTCTTTCGAATAAACGAAAGTGAAACTTCAAAAAGGCGATTGGCTCTGTTGTCCACAAGTCCAACCAAAATGACCAACTACAGTGCTTCTGCAAAGAGCTTTTCGGTCGCAGGAGCTCTCGGAGGCTGCCCACCGGCCAAGCCCAGTTCCCCGTAAGCAAGCAGACTTGGACTTTGTGCGCCGGACCCCGGCGCCCCACCTCACCTGCCGCGGAAGCTGCGGGGACCAGCTGCAGTCCACACTGACTGCAGAACTTGGGATGTTCCTCGCTGGAGACGTGCTGGCACTGAGGACACTCCATGCCTGAGGAAGTGCTGACCGCGGGTCCCGCAGATCTGCAAGAAAGGGCAGAGTCCCAGAGCTGCCGGCTCTAAGCCGCGCCTCCTGTCACGTGACTACGGTCCCACTTCAGTTTCATTTTCTAAGAAAGGGAAATTAGAACGGCTCAGCAGGTCCCCAATCGATCAAACCTCCCACGTCAGTGTGTCCTCTGCTCTGGGCTACCGCACCATCCCAGTCTCGCTCTGCCCTGGCTAGAATCACTCACCTCTTGACACTCCTGGTCTCCTGTTTCTGCCCTGCAAGTCCCTACAGCTCTCCATCCACCACCCCTGGCCCCGTAGGGTCCAAGCTGTCCATCAGAGACCACGGGCTAAGCTGCTTCTCCAGGATGACCCCTCAGAAGCTGTGGCACAGGCAGAGCTGCAGCCTGTGTGGACCCTGACACAGGACATGGGGCTGGGGGGGGCGGGTCACATGGTGTCCTGTAGGGCCAATGCCTCTGCTACCCTTGGTGTCTCAGGGCCCCAACAGGGAAGTGGGCAAAAACACCTGCCCGTAAGGAACCGCAGGTGAGGATTAGGTGAGTCATCCAGTAAGGCTGGCTGGCACCACCAGCAGCTGTGCAGGTGACTTGGAGTACCACAGCGGCGGAGGCCACCTCTTCTTGTTGACCTGGGCCCTCAGCATCCCATGGGGTGAGTGGTATCAAAATAGGGGACAACCACAGCAGGAATAGAGATAGGCAGCCCCTCAGCTCTGGGCCTATGTTACCTAGGTGCCCACTGGGCCTTGAACCAAAGGATCAAGAAGCAGAGCTAGGACGGCTCTTCCCATTGGTAGGGGGCACCAGAGGCTCCGGGGCACCCTCATTTCTTTCCTCCAGCCTCCCCTCCACATGCTCTGCAGCCAACTACTACCAGGGGCTGACCCCTTTTCTACGGTTGAGGAGTGAGCTTCTCCGGCTGGGCTATGAGTGAAGAAATCAACGTGAGACAGATTAAGAAGAGGAAAAACTATACATAATTATGTACTTACGCACGCGTGGGAATCCCACAAAATCCAGAAGTACGAGGCAGCTCGCTGAAGGTTATGCAGTCTCCAGAGCTGCGGAAAAGAATCTGGTCTGGGGCCAGAGTGGCCGGGCAAGTAGTGGGTGGGTGGGTGAAGGAAGGGACCGGGAGCCGAAGGAGCTAGGGGTGTTGTTATGCAGATACAGTCCCTCGGGTGCTGACAGCTGTGGCCCAACGGGCTGCTCTTCTTGTTAATGCAGATTTCCTACATGGATATATATTTTTGTTTACTAGATGCCTGGACCAGCGGTCCTTGGGTGGCACAGGTCTGTAATGCCAGCCCTCTTAAGAGGTTGAGGACGGAGGATCGCAAATAGAAGCCCAGGTAGGTCAATTTAATGACTTATACAATCCTTTCCTAAAATTAAAGATTTTATTTAAAAAGGCGGGGATATAGCTCAGCGCAAAAGCTCTAGGCTCAACACCCAAAAGAAGAGAGCAGCGTTTCGCACCCGCCTCCCTAGTATGCAAATACTCGCGCCCACTCGCTCTCAACGCCGCTGTCTGGAAAGGCGCCCACTCTGGCCTCGAACCCCTGGCCCAGGGAGTTGGCCAACACTGCGCTCAGGGTGCTGCGGCCCTCGGAGGTTACACCTTTTTCCTAAATTAGCGCAGGTACATATAGCGCTAGCGAAAGGGTCGGGAGCGTAGGGGTGCAGGTTCGGCTGTCCAGGCCGAATTGTCCTGACACCAGGGCCAGGCAGGGCAGGAACTCTACGCTTTCCACACGTCGCCAGGACTCCTGGAAAGGTCAGAGCTTCGCTGTCCGCCGCGGGACAGCGGGGTCCGCTCAGTTCCGGGACCAAGGCGGCTGGGCACCCGGCGAGAAAGCGAAACTTGGCTCCAGCAATGGGAGGCGGTCGGCCCCGGCGCCTCTCACAGCGCAGGGCAAGGCCGCGACCAGCCGGATCCGCGCCCCCGCAGCAGCAGCAGCAGCGCGGAGACCGCTGGGCCAGAGCCCTCTTAGAGCTCGCACTCCCGCCTCTCAGCCCCGCACACCCAGATGACCCCAAACGCTGCGCACCCTCAAGCTCGTGTCCACGCGGTGCGGCCCACGCTTTAGGGTCACGCGACTCACAGCGCCGCCCCTACTAGCTCACCGCATTGAGCTGCGCGGGCGTGGCCGAATTCTTCCGTCTGTGCCCTCCTGGCTCTGAGTCGCCCCCTGCCGCTGAGCGCCAGGGCTGCCTCTCCAGAGACCGCTTTGGTCTCCTGGAGCCTTCCCCGACACACACACAATGGTCAGGAGAAAGGCAGTGGTCACTGTTCATGGAGTGGGCACCGTGCCCTTTGTGCCTGTTTCTACATCTAGTAGATGTAGTCCTGTCTGCTAGGACCGTTGCATCAGCCTTACTGATGTATAATTTATATTCAGACGAAATCGGGCACGTGCAGGGTGGTATGCTGTAGACTATATAATTTATATTGAATAAAATGCATAAATTTATTTTTTTTTTTCAGTTGTGCGTGGTGGTGCAAGCCTGTAATCACAGCACTTGGGAGGTTGAGGCAGAGGCTTGCCATTGTTATAGGCACCTAAGTTAGGTGGAAGTATTATAAGCAGCCAGACAGGGCTAGGCCCTCCAAGGAGCCAGGGCAGAAGACAGGATACCTTACAACTGTGGGGGGAGAAGGGCACTCCAGACTCCAAGACAAAAAATGAAAGGAGCCAGCACTTGGGAGGCTGAGGCAGGATGGTCCCTGAGAGAGGCCAGCCTGGGCGACAAAGTGAGTTCAAGCCTAGCCTGAACTGTATAGCAAGACCCTGTGTTTTTTTTTGTTGTTTTTTTTTTTTTAAAGGAATGCATCTACATACTTCCCTAAGGGTAGACAACAGGGATTGATACTCAAAATAGGTAATAATTACCTTGAGGAATCCAAGAAGAGTCCCCCACCTTTCAGGCCCACTTGCTACATACCTGCCTCCCCATTTGGTCCCCCATTTAATCAATATTACCTGAGCAATTAATTATGCTTGGAATTTTATTGGCTGACCATGGTTTTGTCCCATCTTATGCCCATCTTGTAACTTCCCATTTTCTCTACCTTGGACCTGTCTCATCTCATGGTTTTGTTCTATAAAAAAAATCCCTGGAAAAGATAGGGTCCTGTGCAACCCACTTGGGACCCCCCTCTGTCTCTCTCAGATAGTAGCTTTTCTTTGGCCAGTAAATATATTCTGCTCTTAACCTCCACTGTTTCTAAAATTCATTCTTTGACTTTAGAGAACACAAACTTGTACCAGACATATAGCGGTTTGGAGGTTTCTTTCCTCCATGTCATCATGAGTTTGATAACAGCCTGAGCTGCATAGTCAGTTCAAAGCCAGCCTGATTACACAGCAAGACCCTGTCTCAAAAAATTTTTTTCCTGCAAGCAGGCTGAGGGGCTGAGGATTCATCCCCAGGCCTGCCCTGTCAGCCCCGCCCCTGGGGCACTCTGAGACAGCAATTGAGGGGAGTGCTAAAACAGCAATTGAGACTGGGTGTGGTGGCACGCACCTGTAACCCCAGCTCTTGGGAGGCTGTAAACAGGAGAATTTCTATGAGTCCAATCTAGTAGTGAGAGCTTGAACACCCTGTAGACCCTTGTTGTGGTTTGTGTATAGTTGTCCCCCCAAAGCCTCATGCAGTCTTGGGGCAGTTTCTGGAGTTTGTGATTGATTATTGTGGGTGTGGATGCTACACGTGCCCTGGGGCAGGCAATTTGCATTACAATGTAAGGTGGGAAGAGAAGCTAGCTGCTTGAGCTGCTGCTGCTGCTCTTGAGTTCTCTCTTACTCTTTGCCACCCTCAGGAAAGGTTGCCCTCTGCCTTGTGCCTCTCTGCCTTGGAGCCAGCCAAGTAGGGACTGAAACCTTCAGTAACTGTGAGCTAAATAAACCTTTCCTTCCTTCATTTTGGGTGTTAGGTATTTGTCCCAATAATGAGAGAAGAGTAACTGACACAACCCTTCCCTAAAATACAGAAAAAAAAAATTTTTTTTCCCCCATTTTTATTAGTGTTGCCTTGGAATGAGTCAATAATAGTCCAGGGGGGTCTGGGGAGATGGCTCAGTGGAATAAGCGTTTCCCTGGCAAGTGCAAGGGCCTGAGTTCAATTCCTGGTTCCACCAAAAAAAAAAAAAAAAAAAAAAGTCCAGGCTGTTGCCTATGAGGAGGAAAGAATTGCCAAGTATACCCCCAGTAGCAAGAAGTAAGCAGTTACAGGTACTGAAGATCACAGCAAGTTGTGCTCTGTGCAAATCAGTACTGACATGCGATAGGGCACAGACTGAAAAACATACAGGGAGACCGAAAGGCACTGCATACAGGTCAAAGGACACGGAAGTAGCAACAGCAACAGAGCATGGGGAAATCAGGCTTTAGGGACTTAAGGGACTTCAGCCCAGGTGCACAGCCTTAAATTCTGACTCTTTGCCTGTAACTGACAGGAATGATTGACAGGGTGCTGAGTCATATATGCCTGCCCCAGTAATCATGATCTTTTTTTTTTTTTTTTGGTGGAAGTGGTGATTGACTCAGGCCCAAACATGGGAGAAATGGCACCAAGAAGGCAGCCTGACTGGGATCTCCCTCCCAAAGGGTCAGAGCCCCACTCTATCAGGGTTTCAGGTCTTTTATGGGGAGGGCAAAGTGAGGGGGTATAAAGACAGATTTGGAACATTTGATTGGAGGGTTGGGTGACATCATGGGTTGCTAAGGGAGTTTAAATATCTCAAGTTACATTTCAAGGCTATCAGTTAAATAAGCATGAGTTACACAAAGGAAGAAGTGTCCCATTATATTTGAAGTTACGTTGCAAGGCCATTGGTTACACAAAGGCAGTAAAGCGAGAGGTTTATGCTTGCTCTTGGTGGGCATCCTGGGCAGGTTCTGTTTGGAATTTTTGTTTGTTTGTTTTGTTTTTGTTTTTGGCGGAACCGGGGATTGAACTGAGGCCCTTGTGCTTGCCAGGCAGGCGCTTATTCTACTGAGCCATCTCCCCGGGCCCCTTTTTGGAATTTTTAATTTCCCCCTTCAATACCTGTGAGATGGGAGAAGAGTAAAGGAGACTGAAGGTCAATCAGTCAAGCTTAGAGACTCAACACACAGATGTGAGATGCTCTGGCAGGAGTGACCTCTGGGTGCTGTTTAGAACTAAATGGATGGAAGGGGTGACTCCCTCGGAATCATTGTTTCATTCTTTTTTTAAATGTATTTGATACAGGATCTCACTATGCAGCTTGGGCTCATAGTGATTCTCCTGTTTTCACCCTCCCCAACACTGGGATTACAGGTGTGCAACACCACACCCCATCTCAGTGGCTGGCTCAGTGCGCCCAGGGGCGGGGCCGGTGCGGCACACGGTGCCAGGGATAGAAACCTGGTCCCTGTGCTTGCCTAAGCAGCTGCTCAGTCCACTGAGCTATCTCGACTGCCCTTAGCTTCATTGTTTCTAGCTGTGCTATTAATATGCTTGCAATACATAATGAGTACACTCATGGGGAGCTGTCCATGTACACGACACGTCTTAACTCCTGTTACTTCCCCCCCTCCCCGCCGCTCACATCCCTTTTATGTGCAGGTTCAGTGAGTTTTAGAAATGCACACATCTGTGTATAGCTACCCAGTCAAGATCAGACTAACCACGTCACCCCCAAAATGTCTCCTCACGCCCTTCTCAATAAAACTTCTCCAGAGGACAACCTGGCCCCAGAAGCCCCTGTTCTCAGATGATTTAACCTAATCTAGAATCTATATAACAGAAACACACTCAGACACTGTGTTTTACCTGAGCCTCCTCTCAGGCTGCAAATGCTTTTGAGGCTCCTCTGAGCTAGTGCAGCTTCAGGGGTTTACAACATTTCTTGCTGACTCAGGCTCCATTCAATGGTCCTGTTTCCCTGCTGATGGATATTAGGTTTGTTTCTAAGGTCTTGCTGTGATTTTTGTTATGGGTCACTCAGAATAGGAACCAGATCAGCCAGGTGGGAATTTAGAAAGCCCTTTATTACTGAGCTCAGGGCCCCTAGTCTGCTCTCACGCAGGAGAGGACCGAAAGGCAACCTACTCAGGAAGCAGGGAGGGGTTTTAAACCCTGGAACCACATTGAGTTTGATAAACAAATTTATTGTCTGATGCAGATTAATGCTTTTAGAATCACTGTGACCACTACCCAAACTAGATTTTCTGAGGCTTTTGTTTCAGTCCCTGGTTAATTTGCAACTGAGTACCTGTAGGCAGCCTTGCATTGCCCAGAGGTTACAAGGAGTTAAAACTCTTTTAGTTTCCTTTTAAAGTCATGTCTGCAATCTAGCTTTCTTTTAAAGGGATTGGCGAGTTTTATCTAGCAAACTACAGGTAACAGCCACTATTTACTAAACAATCTAAAACAATGGGTGGGTATGCATTTACAACAGAAAGCACAAGATTTATACCTATAGCCTAAAATGTGAGTTAACCCATTACAGTAAGTATACATTTTTACAACAGAAAGCACAAGATTTACATTTATAATCTAAAATGTTAGTTGACTCATTACAATTTTCATTTTTTTCAATACTGGAGATTGAACTCCTTTACATACCTGTTGCATTTTTAAATTTTTTTTATTTTGAGGCAGGGTCTTAGTAAATTGCTAAGTGGCCCAGAATGAACTCAAGTTTGAGATCTGTAGGCCTCAACCTCCCACTAGGGCTGGAATCAAAGCCTGAGCTGAGACAATTGTTTTGACTGATCCCTCAAGCCATGATGATTTCTCTAGAGCTATGAAGCCAGAGCCAAGAAAGTAACAACCCCAGCCCCCAGCTAACCCTTGAAGCTGGCCTTCCCCCTTCGTGGAGCGAGCCCCACCCCCCAGCTCCAGTGGGAGTTCTTTTCTATTTACTCTCACTCCCCTTTCTTAAGAGCCAGCCTTATCTTTGCCAGCACTGCAAATGAAGGTCTCTTACCATTTTCTCTTAGTTTCTGTACCACTCAGCATATAATAGAGAAACAGATTTAATGCAAGATATACAAATACATAAGAATTTATAAGATTGGCTTGCAATGGCCGCCACAGAGTCAGATGTGGAAGAATATAGAAGAGCTGTTTGTGCCCTGGGCTTCCAAA